GCCCGAGAGGCACTCACTCTCAGTTCTTGACGTTTGCCCTGCGATCGAGCGGGTTCAGGCGTTAGCAGAGGTTCGCAAGACCCGTATTTGGTGATGGAGAGACGACCATGCGGACCGTGTCTCTCCGGTCGTATGCTGTCCCAGTCTTCTCTGCGACGGCGCCGTTCACGACTTCTGACTGGACATGCGACTCATCGACGGTTATCTGGGCGCGAGCGCCTTCTTTGCCGTCGTCGAGAACCATGACCGTGGAAGAGTTGGGACGTGGTTTACGAGGAGTGAGCCGGGAACCAAGCGACAATAATCCTGAACATTCCCAGATCGAGGGAGTATGGAAGAGGGACACGGCCCTTTGTAAGGCAGCTTTGGACGTTGCCAGCAGCTACATGTACCGCATGGATCGACATTGTTACTCCGCTCGTGCACATGAATGCCGGGAGCTCAATGCCGGCATCACCAACAGTCTGTCCCAGACGGGCGCTGGAAGCGAAGGATTCCATGCCAGATCACCATGAGCCGTGCAGTAACACATGCAGTAGGCGCAACAGTCCAGTCAAAGCGACGAGCGACGAGATCCCATATCGGGCCATGCTACCTTATCTCTGAGGGTTCTCCTGAGGTACAGTAAGGCACATATAGCATCTCTCATCCGGACCTCCGTCTCCTGGCCGCGGCGGCACTGCTGCAGGGTGGGGAGGGCGGTAGGGGAAGCTGGCGAGACTAATGTACTCTCCATGTCCCTTGTGCGTCTGGCGCTGATAAGGTACATGTGCATGCACATGTATGGTGTTCGTTCAAGTTGTGTCGACTTCCATTGGCGAAGCGTCGGGACTGTCCGCTTCGCCAAGTCGGCTCATCTTCGGCTGAAATATCAGCATCTCCCTGCCACCGCCATCCAGTCCTTCCTGCATCACCTCACCCCATACCTTACCTCACCCTTCTTTCCTTGACCACCTCCGGCTTCGTATCCTGTTCACCAAACCAACAAGAAGGTCGCGGAATACCAACGACCGCAGTCAGAGCGACCCCGCGCTGGCAGATCGTTGGAGGCCATCCTCCGGCACCATCATTGGGATGGCACCCACAATGGACACTCGCAGCTCGTCACTACGGGTACATGTATCTCACGATGGCACGGGCCGACTCTCTATCACTTGCATCTCCGTCATGGCTAGTCCAGTACCTCACATGCTCACATGCTCACACCAAGAAGCCAAACCCACACCAACGCCAGCACCTCCCAAGCAAGTCCGACGCCCCCAGCTACTCCTTTCCATCCGGAACCTTCCACGAGGTCTTCCACCGTGAAGAGCGGACCGCATGTCTCCGTCATGGACATGTGCGGACTCCGTGGGTCTGGGTGTCCAGCGTCAGGCGAACCGCAAGGCGAGCCGAACCCAGGACTTTGCGATATCAGACTATATGGACCTTCATAGTTCATGCGTATCCCGGCCATCAAAGCTACTTACTGTGGGATGTGTGACTCCTTGCGCGCCAACATCACTCCCATTTTACCACGAGGACCACCTTGTGAGCTTTGTCAATGGCGCCAACTTCACCAGATTGCCGCTCCAGAATGTAAGTGAGGTTTCCCCCAACGGGCACAGGTCTATTCATCTCAATAGTAGACACCGCTGTTCACACGCTATTGTCTCAATCTATGTCCTTCTTTGTCGTCCATTTTATCCCACTCTCCGCGCCGTCTCGCTTGCTTTCATATCCGTCTCGTTCTCTGTCTCAACAATCCACAAACATCATCTCTCTTTGCAAGCAAAGCCATCTGTCCGGACCACAGCAGGACTGTGTGTTCATCAAGCATCGTCCTCAGCAACTATGGCCGACGAACAGTCGCGACAACGCAACCAAGTTCCAGCATCCATCCCTCCGCCAGGCTCAATCGTTCCTGTCGCGCGCGTTCGGCATCTGGTCACCGCAGACGGCGCTCGTATCCCCTACACACGCGCAGAACTTGGGTGGCTTTTCAACGCTGGTCCTATTCAGCAAATCATCTTCGGTATCCTCGAGACCCGGGACGCTGTCAGCTTGCGACACGCCGTGCATGCTCGGGACCAGAACGGTGATCTGCTCCGTATCCCCAACACCACCTGCGAAGACCCCAACCTAGGCTCCACTGCTGGTGGCCGCGATGCGTTCAATAGAGTGTACATAATGCAGCCGCCTCCTTTCCAACCTGCTCAGACAACGAGAACACCGTGCAACAGAGCAGCGATCTGGACCAATCCACAAACTGCAACGCCTGGATTCCCTCTCGGCTTCCAGGAGTTGAGTCTCTGTTGTGAGCCCCTTGTCGTGGTAAACCAGCACTGGCCCAACCGCTACCGTCGCGTCTGCAAACCCTGCAAAGACAAGCGCTTCCAAGACATCAACTGGCGACGTCGACAACTCTTATTCGGAGTGTGCACAGACTGCCGCGTCTACGCCAACAGCCTCACTATCCCGCCAGACCGGCTCCAATGCGACTGCAGTCCCAATACCCGCTGGACTGACGGCACCAACGGCAACCAAGCGCATGCGGCCCACATGTGCCTCCCCCACGACTGGGAAGACTGGTGGTTCCACACCGCGCCCCGGGCCCAGATCGAAATGGACGCCCGCTACCGCCTCCGCCTCCGCAAGAAGCCCACCCGCATCGCGTACAAGAAGTCCAAGAAAGCAACGCCGCGCGACCAGATGACGCCCTTCCAGCGACGGCATTGCATGAAGGTTGTGCGAAGAGGCCGTCCAGATGCGGTCCCACGTTGTTTTTGCGGGAATGCCATGAGCCATGCTGAACATTTCCGGCCGAATGGGAGGAAGGTGACGAATGCGGCGGGGGTGTTGGTGCCGATTTATCAGTGGAGGAGTTGCACGGGGTGCAATGCTTTTGTCAACACGAATGTTTGAGATTGGTTGAGGGTGGTGTGTGTGAGGTCGGTCACTTGTGCAGGCAGACCAGCTCTAATTACAACGTGAGTTGTTTCCACGCTCCTTGTATGTACTCCAATCGTATCTGCATCGCTGACGTTTGGCACGCCTTCTAGACTGGATTGTGTTCACCGCAGGTCGCTTCAGCGACCACGATTGCTGGGCTGGTCATAGTCATCATCAGGGAGGCTCATATGGACCATGAACACAGTGGTAAACGGCGCTTGGTGGTATTTTTGGATGCGCTCAGTAGTCCTCGAAGATTTATAAAGTAGTCCGCACCTCCTTGAAGGCACAGTCTCCAACTATACCTCGCCTACATACCTCACAATGGCAGACAACGACGGTCCAGAAGATCTTGTTGACAACTTGAACGCCGAAGCCACACTCGGCACCTCCCCAGATGCAGCTAGGTGAGTACACAGCGATATCAGCGCGCGGCTTTGCTTACTGACAGTGTTCAGTCTACATCCTACGAACGATGAAGAAAATGCCCCGGATAATGGCTCTGTCCCGAATATCGATGGCTCCTACTACATAATCGGGTTCGTGACACCTCCTACCCGTCATGCACGATCAGTCCGAGGCCAACGGACCATGAATCGAACAGGCCAGCTTCCGCTTCTTTGGGACCCGCCGGAACCAACAGGTCATGCCGCAAGTGCTGCTGAACGAGTCCACAATACCACTGAAGTACATGTAACCACTCTCGAATCCTCGGCTCCGGAGGAAGTCACCCGCCGTGCCATCTCAAACAGAGTGCGACGACCACCCTTGGAAACCCCTGAGAACTTGAGTGCTCCATTCCTGACGATTCGGCACGATCATATCCGTTTGCAGCGTCCGCGCCACTCGATGCCCTCGCACCACCCACTCGACGTATGCCACGAACTCTTCAGGGGTTTTGTGCTCGAGAGTGGGCCTGATTTGTATGTTCACAGGGTTGGAAGAGAACAATGGCGTGCCGATGCCAGAGCTTTGTTAACTACTCGCGAGCGACCTGACATGCACCCCCGCGTTCTGGATGCGCTTGTCACTATCGCAAGCGATGGATATCCATACGCCTCCGGTCTAGCCAGGAATGCTCTACTAGACGAAGTCCAGTCGATGCGTGCGATGTCGCCGGAGCCCGACAGCTACAGTTCGCAACTGATGGCCGTGATAAGCCAAACGCTGATATGGGAGTTGGAGGATCGCGACCCAGACTTTCCAATGTTCCCGCCAACGAGGAATCTTTTCACCGCGCCAGACTCAACTGTATCTGGCAGGCCAGAAGGCATAGCAATAGATCTCCGCGACAATGACGCCTCATATGCCGCAAGACGCCAACAGCGGGAATGGGCAGCAGCTGCCTTTCCGGAATACCCCAGCAGCGAGGATGGTATCAGTACGATTCACGTAACCTCTCCGGCCCCGCCAGCGCATACGAGAGGGAGGGACTACCGGAGCAACGCTGAGATCATTCAAGACGAAGAAGACCTCGAAGACGAGTATGAGCTGGGAGGCTACGATCTCGGCCTGTATAACTTGCAAGGTCTCGCCCTCTCCGTTAACGTCGATCAAGTGCTCGAGGCTCAGGAGGAGCTTTGGGAGGAGCACGAGCGGTGGTGTTCGGCAGTGGACTGGTGCCGTGAAGAAAGGCATTGAAGCCGGACCGAGCGGTGTGCGTCTGCAGAACTTACCAATAGCTTCGGTCGGTTCAACTCGGTTGGGTGGAAGGTCAGGTGCATAGGAGATCTCAACCGGAGGGTTGGCCATAAGTAGACTGTGGGTAGGTGGCTATGGAAGTCAATCTGATGTGATGCCACCGAGTCTACACTCACGATCTTTGAGTAAAACGTCGCAACGTGACAACGTGGCAAGTATACAGCCCCGGCGGCCTACATAGTAGGTCAGTGCAGTCCAAAGGCCAAAAAGATGAAGCGGTTCTTCGTCCATTTCTTAAAGGGTTTCGAAGATGACGCGATTCTTCGTGCGTTCGTTGAAAAAGGCCAAAACGATTAAGCGGATTTTCGTCCACTTTTCGAAGGGTTCAAAAGATGAGATAATAGTTCATCCGTTCCTCGATCAGACGATGAACAGAGTGGGACTCGAACCCACGCCTCTTGCGAGACCAGCATGCACTTGGAAGTACCTGAAGCTGGCGCCATAACCACTCGGCCATCTGTTGGGGAAGGTTAGCCATAATGTCGTGAGGGAGCCGGGTCGGGAAATCTCACCTGTCCGAAATCCTGACATTTGGGAACTCAACCGGGATGAGAATATATATTCTTTACAATATGGCTGACAGACGTGAGACGAGATGAATTCCACCCGGCGCGTGAAGGGTCCTCGCGTAGAATCCTTCTCGGAAGCACAATTCACGCCCGCTTGTCGCTCGCACTCCTGTCTTTATACACACTCATCGCATACGTACACTCCGGTCTATACAGACAGACAGACACACGTTCGTTTCCACTCGCAGCCGACGATGAATGAGGTCTCCCGTACATGTACCGCACGGCTTGGGAAGGCGGTGGTCTGTACTGTATCTAGCGAATACTTCATGTTCGCACGCACCCACCTTTGCTCTCAGCCAATCGCCTGTTGCCGCGCCGGTAACTTCAAACCACACCTCACTTCATCTTCTTGACATATTCGCACCTCATCCACCACCGGGCCTGCTGCTTTGAGTGGACCAGATCAATTTTGCGCGGCTATCGTACGACAGGTGATACGGATCTGCCGCACGCAATGCTCTCAGGACCTCTTCGCGCGGCGTATCGAGGCCGGTGCGACACCTCACGGCGACGTGTCCTTGCCACAGGGCTACTGAACAAGATACCAAGGGGCATGAACATCACACGACTCTCGTTCTACGCCCATACTCTGTCCACGTCTCACAACGTAGCCCGTCGGGAGGTTACGGTTCATTTATGGTGGACGCTTGCTAGGCATGGTCACTGAAGCACGCGATCACACCTCACGGTCAACCTCACTTCTCACCTCACGAAAGCCCGCCTCTACCCGTCTTGTCCCGCACGACAATAGCAACTTCCTTCTCTTTGTGTTCTGCCCTCTTTCATCACCGTCACTACCACACAATGGTCTTGTTCTCTTTCTTGCACATAACCTAATTGTTCACATTCATTGTTCTCTGCGCTGGACGCTTACACGAGACCTTTCTTTGTCATTCGCACAATCCCCTCGTAATAAGTACAGCATCTTCGAGCGTCATTCCACCATCTTCTGGTCACCGACAGCAATATCTCTCCAACATCACAGTGACTACTCTTGGCTGCGCCGACTCGTCAACAACATAAATATTCGAACCAAGCTCTCTTTCCAACACTGAAAGACAACAACAATCCAACACACCAACCACATCAACCACCAACATGTTCACCTTCATCGCAGCCTACATCCTTGCCCTGGCGGCATTGACCTCTCTGCCTACCGCATCGGCCCACTCGTGGAACGAGGAGTTCCAGGTCATCAGCACAAACGGCACATACATCGGCGACCGAGGTTTCCCTCGTGGTTACATGGCGCGAACAGACCCCGGGTATAACGGCTTCTCCATGGAGTGGCTCGTACCGCAGGACGGCGTACGCATCAGCTCGACAAACCTGCTATGTCACCCGGCACAGCAGACCAGTAACTACTCGAACCCCGCATATCCGAAGCTGCAGGTGACGCCTGGTAGCTACGTGGCGATGAAGTACCTCGAGAACGGACACGTCACACTGCCATGGAACCAGCTCGGCAAGCCTCCCGGAGGCGGCACAGTCTTCGTCTACGGCACCACTCAACCCTCGAACGACGAAAAGATCGCAGACGTTCTCAGCTGGACTAGCGACGGCAAGGGCGGTAACGGCAAGGGCTTTCTGATGACCGCTCAGAACTTCGATGACGGCCGTTGTTACCAGATCAACTGCGGCAACATCTCGACCGACAGGCAGACTCTCTTCCCGAACCACGTCTCGGGTCAGCCAAACTCCATCATCGAGCAGTGGTGCGAGACCGACGTGCAGATCCCGAACACGGCTACACCCGGCACGCTCTCGGTCTACTGGGTGTGGCAATGGCCGACTGAAGCGAACCACGACTGCACATACCCTCAGGGCAAGGACGAGTACTACACCACTTGCTCGGACTTTGAGGTCATCGCCGCCGATGGCCAAGTCGATGGCAAGATCCTAGCCGAGACCGATACCACGCACACGCTGGCGCAAGAGAACCCGCGAACAACCGCGGTCTCCGCCTTCCAGTCCCGGATTGCGTTCACGTCATCGCCGCCGGTCGTCGTCGTCGATGGCTCAAAGACCGTCGGTCAATTGATCAAGGCCGAGGCGACTTTCATGAGTGCTTGCTCGGCGACGGGTAACGTCAAGCCCGACGTCACTGTCCCGGCTAACTGTGCGCCCGTCAGCATCTTCACCGGCGCCGCTGTCACTTCAGCATCGCAGGCTCTCCAGCAATTCGCCACCACGAATAACCTCGCTGCGTCAGCTGCCGCCACCAACGTCCCAGCTGCTGCCCCTGTGCGCCCAGTCACCTCCATGACGAACGCAACCGTGACGCAGACTGAGGGTGCTTCGACACCTTCCGGCACGCAGACAGTCACCACGACAATGACGGTCGACACCATCGTGACCTTGACCATGACGATGAGCACATCCTCAATCGCGTCGTCATCCGCCAACTCTACATCGATCGTCTTCGCGACAATCAGCACCGTCACCACGCCTTCGTCGACAACCTCAACGTCGGTGCTCACGCCCTCCGTCGCGCCTTCGTCTACGCAGCCGCCTCCCACTATCCCGAGTGTCGGTCCCGCCGGTATCATCGAGGACGTCGTGGTGGGCACCGGCGCGGACCGCAACGCGAGCGAGCACATCGCGCGTCATGCCCACCGTCGCCACGCGAGGTACTTCAAGTAAGTGCGGTCGCATGAGTATTGAGATGATCGGTGTTGTTAGCAAAGCGATATGAGTGGACATGTAAGGTATAGGCATAGATTGGCTTTTGAGCATGGGAATTGGCGTGTATTTGGCTCTTATGAGACACGCTCGCTTGGGAAATTGTTCTGGAGCATTTGGGATAGTTGTCGGTCACTTTTGTAGTTCATAGAACGTGAGATACCCAGGCTCGCCGTTGTCGGCAGGAGCAGCAAATCGATTTTCTCGCAAGACTTCACCAGCTTCACTTTCACATTCTTCCATGTAGTGTCTCGTCGTTGATGTATGTTGCCGTGATGCTAGATGCCAAGAATAACGCATGGTTCTGCAGGACCGCGAGCGCAACGAACGGAACGCGCCTCGGAGACTTGGATTGCACTGTTCCCGGAATTCTGTCGGTCGCATCACGTAGCATGCATGCTTGGCTCGGCAGGAGATGGCGGTGGCGTGCCATCACAACCGGTCCACGACAAGTAATGATGTGTGCAAACCGGATCGGAGGTGTCGCGAGAGGGAGACAAAGAAAGTGTGGCGGAGAGAACGCTTGGCATCCATGGACCTAATAAGGTGGTTGCTCGTCTAAGACAAAGGACGGAGACCACGAATTGGCGTTTGGCGCATCTGCCTAGTCCAAGAGGCCCGACGACATCAAAGTGTATGAGCGAGCACAGAAGCCCATCAAATCATCGAGCTGTTAGAGATCGTACTCCTCCAGCGTTGTGAGATTGAACGCTGCCACCGTCCTCCCGAACGTTCCGTAACTGCATTATCCATTACACATCACACGGTAGTCGTCGTACCTACGCATACAACTTCTTCTCCACCCCAACCATCCCCTGAATCCCGCCCTCCGCCTGCGCACTCGCAGTCCGAAACTCAAACCGCACCTCCCCGTCCCGCACCCCCTTTTGCAAATCCTGCACACTCCGTATCCCGATATCCTGTAGACTGTGCTGCACGCCTGCCATCAAATACGGCACGAACTTGGTGATGCTGCCTCGATCCAACACAGAACCGCTGACGCCCTGCGCGACGAGGAGCTTGTCGCCTTCGCTGAAGTAACGCGCCGTACCCGCGTTTTGCGCGTTATTCGCTGCTTTGTTCCCGGCGCCGCTGGAGGTGCCGGACGCTTTGCGGTCTTCCATGGCGTCGATGGAGCCCATACCGCGGTACGTCTTGCGGAGCTGACCATCGCCGCCCACGACGTACGCACCGGGCGACTCGGTGGTGGCGGCGAGAAGCCCTCCCATCATGATCGTGCTGGCGCCGAGCGCGATGGCTTTGACGATGTGGCCAACGTTCTGGATGCCGCCGTCTGCTATGCAGGGGACGCCGAAGCGGGCGGCGAACTCGCAGACTTTGAAGACGGCGGTTGCTTGTGGTCGGCCGACGGCCATGACTTCTTGGGTGATGCATGCGGAGCCCGCGCCCATGCCGATCCGCAAGCCGTCGACACCGGCTGCGATGAGCGATGCGGCTTGATCGCGTGTCACAACGTTGCCGCCGATGACTTGGAGGTCGGGGAAGGTCCGCTTGATCCATCGAATCATGTCGATTTGGTAGATGCTGTTCCCTTGGCTGCTGTCGAGTACCACGATGTCCAGGCCAGCATCGACAAGCGCGGACAGTCGGTCCTTATCAGTCTCTCGTGTGCCAATTGCTGCAGCGGATAGTAGTTGCTTGGTACCGGGTACCTTTGACGCGAGCGGGTAGTGTAGGTTCTTCATGAGATCGCTTCGGCTGAGTAGAGATACGAGGTTGCCTTCTGCGTCGACGATGAGGAGCTTGCCTTTCTTCGACTTGCTGAGGATATCATTGGCTTCGGGTAAGCTAACGCCTTCCCGGGCGGTGACGAGTTCGGTTGACATGACTTCGGTGACGTGCGATTGGGAGTTTGAGTGGAATTGAGTGTCTCGAGGTGTGACGATGCCGATGAGCTTGCTGCGGAGTCTGCCATCCTCTGTCTGAAGTCAGCCAGGCTCTCGTCGTACAACAATACTTCGAAGATAGGCTGAAGCGTGTCTGTCAGAGTTGGTGGATTATCCACTCCGCTCTCGGCACATTGGCCGAGCGCTTGCGGTAGAACGAAAGTTAATAAGGTTTAGCATCATGGAACGCTGGTGATACAAGAGTAAAAGAGAAGGCTGTCCAAACCTACCAGTCACCGGGAACCCGCCAAACCCCCACCGTTCCTTCAGCACCCGCACCTCCTCCACCGTCGTCTTCGGCG